ATTTCAATTACTTGCTTACATTTTCAGTCTTCTTACTGTGTGCGGGGCTAACAAGCAACGTTAAAGGGGTAATCTACTCTAGCAGACTCTCGGAGTGCAGACACTCGTGCATCCTAGTTCTCAGTCGATCGATTCACACTCTTAAGTGAAGTGCTTCCACAGAAGCTGATTCTCATCTGACGACTGCGTGATGGCATGCGTGTGTTTTAATTCAATACTTGCAATTTGTACTACACAGTGGACTAGACTTACGTTAAAGAATTGCGTTCAAAGCATTTAAGTGTATGCAAGTGACATTTTTTTTATCCTTAATATCTGTTGGTTACCTTCGAACTAAAATGGATATAAACACATGGGTAGTATTACACTGATACATGTTTAAATGTATTCCGCTGACTTGGAAGATGCCATAGGCCCTTTCAATTTGCGCGTTTAGCCTTAGCATTGTAGGATTTGTGGCGAACATATACCTTTAGTGCAAATTTTGAAAAATAACTTCTGTCAATGCCATATTTCGCCAAGTCTGCAATGAAGCATGCCACCCATTTGTAAGGAAATTTATATTAATCCGCTTTGGCTGATTACTGACATCCGCAGGTGTTCGGATTGTCAGTAAGAAAAAGACAGGGAGACGAGACTGCAGGTCATTTGGTATGCATGTCACCAAATACAGAGCTCAAATTAGCCAAAACAACAGAATTTAATCACCACGGTGCTAATGGCTACACTCGAGCATAAGTCTTTTAACCAGTCTGAAGTGTAGTTATCACAGAGGCGTCGACCGTTTTCATTTCGCTACCCTGGGTTTTCTCGTTTTTGCTGAGGCTGGGTTGAATTCAATATCTAAAAGCACAGTGTTGCCGATTTGGTTATTTTTGCATTTAATTGTTGATTGGCTACTTCATTCGACGACACATATCTGCTTTATTCACATCTTACATGAAAACATTCGTTTAGTGGTGGTTGCTTAGACCTGTTGTCACTGCTCGTCAACTGCCTGTTATTTTAGCAAAACGGTTTCGCTTTTGTTTCCGCCTCTTCGTTTTCTACGACGATTATACCGGAGTCTCTTCAATGTCCTGCCTTTTAAATTTTGGCACAATGACACTAGTTTGGTAAGTTTAGTTTAGAAACCGCTGAAGCTTACAATCAAATAAGCAGACTAATGTGTGGGTTCACTACACAACCCAATCGGGCTCTCATTCTGCAAATTTGCCTGCAATCTCTGAAGAGGTTCTTGACACATTTTGACACGCAGGTGTCAAAGAATCTGTCAGGGTGAATCGACTTTGACCAAATGCCTGACACGAGTTGTTCCAAATTACCAATGCGCACGTTGCGATCTTCTTAAGTAAGCGCAGCATTGATCCGTGTCAAAACCGCTTTCAACTTTGATTTCTCATTTGTGCCACCGAAGAACATGTTCCGGGTTTGTGGTTTATTCGAATCACGAATTTTCATGTCACCATTTGGCGTCTAAATGGGATAAAGTAGCGTTAACTCAATGCCATTTAAGACATCATCCTCGACCAAGCAGACACAAACTCGCTAGCAGTTATGTTTGTCACATGGCCTATCTCTCTTAGTATTAAAATTCTTCAAGCTTTTAACAGTAGCACCAAAGCAGTTCTAGTGACTCAAGGAGATTTAGATTGTATGGTAAACAGCAAGGGTTCTTGTGGCATTAATTTTCAACATTCAAGGCGCAACTGCTTTGCAAGTACACTGCCTAATTTGGTAATCGCTGCTCAGGTGTTTCCTTCTTCTCCTCTAAGCTCATATTCTGCAATAACCAATTCAGTTGGCATGATTAATTTCAAAAGAATAACGCACAACGTCTTATCAAATGGCTGGTAAGTCTGTCAGCTTAGATTACTCTCTTTAACACTGCTTTCTAGTCCCGCAAACATTAAGGAGACTGAAAATGTAACTAGGTAGTCAGAATGCCCGTAGATGACAGTAGAACCAAAACGCACCTAATTATCCTTACGTAGACATCAGTTAAAACGTGTTGAAAGCAGTTTCTTTAGCACTATTAACAAATTTTCACTACACATGAACTTGACTGATTTTCGTCTCATTTCTGCATTTGTCCAGCTTTACATCTTATGTAATTGCAATGGATGACCACAAAATTATTATATCGAATGCTGAAACAACAACTGCGTGACGACCAAACACCCACCTGAATAGCAGAATTTGGTGACAAACCAGAATCCTATTCAGCAATGCAGCAGAATTAGTCTTCTTCAAAGGCACTTTCAAGTGGTGTTACTCACAAAACTACATTACACTGGTAATTTGGCATTGTCCACTTCCTATGAAGATGCCCTATATCTGACTAGTGGCATGGTAAGAGGCGGTGAAGCACGCGCTTGTATTTGGAAGTGTCAGCTGCATCAAAAAGAATCCCTTGACACTTAATTTGATTTCAATTTCTTGACTAAGACTGACAATGCTTCATGTACGAGCACACCTTTCAAAGCAGTAGTGACAGAGTTGTCGTATTTCATGCTTAGGATAAATGTCAATCTACCCGCATAATCGAACCCGTGGTTAATGTCAGTTGAGGCATTTACCAAAGCATGACTCAAGCGCTTGACAAGAATCAGCATCCCACAATCATTCCTCCACTAGCAGAAATTAATCGCATGTGTGCTTTCCAGTTTGCTTTGCACCAAGTTTTATTCATCTGCAGCCTCCTGCTCTTCGCACTCACCACTGCACCCAACTATTGTCGCAGTGCATTTGAAAATCAACGTTAATTGCATTTGCCCGGCAGTGTTGAGACTCAAGCTCACGTCGCAAACATGCTTTAAAATATGATTTTTTAGTTGAAATAGAAGCGAAAATTGGGTGTCTAGGTTAAATATGCACAAAGGAATAACACAGTATGTCGAATTTGTTCAACATAACTCGGCATTTGACCAAAAGCCATTTCGTAAAATTAACACAAAGGGAAATAATGCAGGCTGAGTGTCACTGCGTTAACGTGGTGATTATTTCTTCGCAAATGCCCATAACTGCATTTTTGTGAGCCCGCTTAACATTTTGAAAATCACATGTTTTTTTGTTCATATATTTGACACAAACCTGTGTTTCAGCAATGCTTGTCATATATTAAACGCCGTATTTCCAGAAAGACTGATTCAATACCGGGGGGGGGGGTACAAAAAGATGTGATTTGAGGCGAAAACAGGCTTCAGCGGTGTTATTCTCATTTTTAAATCGTCAACCATGCCTAGTATTCAATACAAGGTGCACATCTAAATGTATCTACAGAGACTCGGTCACATGGCGCATCACGGCTGAATGCACTCGTCCACACAGGCAAAATGACTTGTTTTGTAACGGCTGAGGTGCTTGTCTGAGCAGCGCAACCCACTTCACACCCACTTACTTGCACCGAGAAACTGTCGTTTGATGTGTACCCAAGGTCCTTCAACTAACGAAATGCCGTCGAATTGGCAAGATTATGTCTCGCAGTAATGTCATGAGTGAAACCGCATGGAACAGCACCTCGTGCTGGGTGCTCTCACTGCCTCGTCTTAACACTAAGCGCGTGTTGCCGTGAGCTCACTCTACGTATATGGAGCGGGCAGCTTAGAGTGCAGGTAAGAAAAATGGCTTGCTTAAAGTTACATGGACCAACAGAAAGAAGATGGGAATGCGAAATTCAGTGTGCATAAGCGGAAGTAGAAAGTGGAAAGTGTAAAATTTTACAAAGAATGATGTTCCAAAAGAAAGTTCATTGAATAGATTACTGGACATTCACTAATGAGATTTGTCAAAACTAATGTACAGGCAGGCCAGAGATGTTTGCGTTAACAGCATTTGGCGTCACCTATTGAGGGACTTAAAATGGCCATACACTTGGTGGGCTTAGGTTACATTTAACCGTTGTAGCGACGTGTAAGGGCGCGGAAATATTGGACCACGTTGGATCCAGCCAATTCTCTGTCTCCCTGCGTTCCAGTGGCTAGCGAGGAAGATATGGAGCCAACTAGAGACAGACACGTCTTAGAGGTAGGATATAATGAGCGGTGTAGCCTGCGTGGTGGACTCGGCCGTACGGCACGTGACGTACATTTCTGGCTGATGATTGGTCAATAAATCCTTATGTGCTAAACCAGTCCTCTACATGCTAGGGCTTTTGACTAAGTGTTCTACACCATGTAATCATAATCATATAATATTCATATAATCATCATTGTAAAAACCAGGGAATAACATGTCTGTTGATAGTTTAAAGACGCCTCCGAAGCACTAAGAGACGTTTCTCACGCCCGGCTGTCATCTTTCGAAGCGGCTTCCACGTAAATTCTCCGAGTTCAGAATCCTACAATAAAGAGACGATGTGAACCCGGACAGTGAACGTGTCAACTGTCAGTTGGAAGGTGCTTACGTCTGACTCTGATCCCGACAAAAATTCCAGTAATTCGCCATTGTGGCCTGTAAAGCCTGAACAAAAATAGACTCAACCGTGAGTTTCTTCTGCAATGTAATAATATTTTGGGAGATACAACTTGTTTTAATAATAAAGCAGCCATACAATTTACTCGGGTTATTGTTAAAATTATTCCAACCTGCGAAAAGTAGCCTTCCATTGAATGCAGCCAAGGAGAGGGGGCCACGGCAGGTTTGTTTCACTGCAGCAAGTTGTGTCCACTGGCTGGAGTTATGGTGCCGGGAAGTTAAGGGGAGACACTCGACGGTGGTATGCTCGCCATCATTTCCACCAGCAACGATGACGCAACAGCGGAAGTAGGCGACTGCTGGACTTTCGCGCCACTGCAGCATGGGGGCAAGCGTCCGCCACGACCAATCGTCATCATCTTCCGTACTCGGGGCGAGCAATTCCACGAAGTTCACTTTGCGACTGACTTGGCGTTGCCACCCACCAACCACGACGATGCCGACATCGGGCACGTTCACTGCCGCGGTGTTTGAACGCTACGTAATCATATTCGGCAGCTCTGTCCACCTTCAAACAATACAAAACTAGCGTTGATTTTGCAAAATCTGCTTTTTGTTGTGTGCTTTTTAAAATTGTTTCAAGATAGCGCTTTGCTCTCATGCTGCTGTTGTGCTGGACAGGAATACTGAAAAATTATTTCCAACTACATCCGCTTCACATGACTTGAAAATTTTTTAAATGCAGTGTAGGCATTAGGGTGTAATATAACACAAACTTGCCTGTTCTGAATAGGGTCATATTTCTCACACGTATCCTCATTTGACGCACCATATAAACTTCCAAACACGAAAAGATACTCGTCATTGGCAGCAGCACAATGGCAATACCGCGAAAAGAGCATTGGCGACACGCTGGAGATGCTACCACTAAAGGGGTTCACTCTGTCCACCCTGTTTGAAATAGAACCATTCAATTCGTACCCTCCAATGAAATAAATGCAGTCTGTGGAAGAAGGAATTTGGTCTTAATAAACGTACAATTTTCTTCTGCCACCAAATCTTCAAGTTAGAGAACTCACCATTGAAGAAGGTGACTAAGCAGTCACAACGAGATGGTACTTGAAAGTTAAGATTTACGTCAGTCTTTTCTCCGAGTATATCTTCAAATATTAAAGGTTTTAACGGATTCTGCGAAAGTTTATATGCAACAACGTAGTCCCGGAAGGCGTTCCTGTGAGAACGCAAGAAGATCAGCATATTTGCCGAGTGGGTGCGAAAACAGAAGATCCAAGTGCAAAAATATGCTCACCTCTGCGAAGCGGCAACTTGTGATGATCTCGGCGACGTCTCCTCGGACATCCAGGCACTAATAAGGTATCCGCTAAATAGTAAAAACTCACGAAAATAGATATCGTTTGACTGGCATTTTAGTTGTGTGGTAGCAATGACGATGCCGGGCGAGGAATATTAGGTTATCAGTTGATCGGTGACGATTAAGCTAACCACTAATATGACAGTACGCCGAAGTAAAAATTTATACAGATGGTAGTTATATAGTTGGGGAGTAATATTCATCTTTGACTACAATTTTTCATACAGCATAACAAAATGTCGAAAAATCCGTTGGCATTACTCGCATACCCGAATTCTTCTAAAAGACTTTTCATTAGATTTGATGAGCACAGATTAGCTACGATTTCCCAGGAAAATTTTCTGAGGTCGATTGACTGAATGAGGTCTTTGAAACAATCCACCAGATATTTCGCATCGCCCTCTTCTGCTGCGGCTGCACACCACATTACAATAACTCGCAGCTTCGAGTCTTCGGGCACGTCAGATAGGCGATCATCTTTAAGCATTAAAGCCAGAAATTCGGCATCAGTAGAGGTATTAAACGTTGAGCGACCGGTGAAATCGTCAAAGTTGTCAGCGATCACAGACACGCAGATGCTCATTAGGTCACTGTTCATTGTGGCGTTTGCAATAGACCAGAAGACTTCGACATTCTCCTTTGAAAGCCTGTAACATATTTGCCAGCTGAATAATTTTGTTGGAGGCAAATTCGAAAATGTGCTGCAAAACTTGTCAGAACGTTGAATTCAGAAAAAAATATGATTTTTATTAAATTTCAGAACTCTATCCTATATGAAAAACACAGTTTAGAAGCATTTACGACAAACCCACTCGTGTGCTCAAGTACCTGGGTTCGAGAAACTCAATGCATCCAGACGTGAGTGTTGAGCAGCCCAGAGTTGTCGATAGCAAGAAGAGGCTGGCCACATTGCTCATGGTGAGTTGCACGCGTCCAGTGTAGGCGAATGTCACGGCTGCTTCCACAATACTGCAACACATTGTCGTGCAATCAACTGTATCGGAACTTACTCTGTTTTGAATCGCCTCCATTCCATGCATGCTCGATTCGCAACCGTTACAGTGTCCGCGATGTGCGGGAATCGCATAGCCAGCAGAAGACGGTTAGCTGGCACCTTGCGTCCGTCTTTCGTCTACGTTGTCAGTGGCACTCAACCTAGCCAACTTACGATTATGTGAAAGTCGATCAGTTTCCGTCGATGTCTTAGCTTCATTTAAAGGTCGAATGGCATGGGGCTGTTGGGCTGCTCCGTGAACGTCCATTGTTGCGCTAGCGCCATTTTACATCTAAATGTGCCGCAGATAACTAGCCAAAAGTACTACACAATTATGTAAGATTGCCTCCCGTGATAACGTGCTGCCAAACAACGCGTAATCGGTACTGCGTGCGTAAATGATCGCAAGGCAGTCTGCGATGGTGCTTTTAACGCCTACCTGAATCAGTTTTATCCAGTTGGATTCGCAATGCGTTTAAGCGTGCGCACGCTCACATCGAATGGGATTAAGCGTTGTTAACGCACACTGCGTATGTCACTACAAATCGATAGGCTGCGATTTCTTCGTGATCGTGTGATACTCATTGGAGTCATCTATTTGCACTGCAAGAGTGTAGAAATTGCTTTAGTATCCGGGAAAATGCCTGATGAACATGACTTCCAGATACCCAATTGACTACTTGCGTTGTTTGCAAAGGCCGTTAGGTTATGTGTGCGCTAAAGTGGGCAGTACAAAGCATCGAACAAGTGATAACCCCTCTAAGCTCAGAACGCGCCTTATGTCTATGTATTGTCCAAATCTGATGGGCTGATCGTTGACCAAGCACACTGAAGAGCAGTGAACGACACCTGAAGTTGCATATTGGAAACAGCTGGCACTCGTCAACTTCTTGGGATGCACTTAACACATGCTAATCTCGACTTCGCTCTTATTCATGCAGTGATGTCTGATTAGCACAGTTGAGGCATTACTGCTGATTTGACACTCGTTTGCATGCACGCACGAGGACGCAGGGTTAGAAGATTTAAAAATGAAGTGGAGATAACAGGAGAGCCCTCTGGACGTTGTTCTGTTGGCCAATAGATTGCAGTTTCATTCGTTAGCTTAGACTCCTTTTTGGATACGTAGTTCAGTAAGTTATCTTAACTGGAATCATTCAACGCATCAACCGCTATTGCCATTTTTCAACACAACTTGATGTCACTATTCCCAGCAATAATATTCTCGTGCACTCAGGACTAGCCAATGTTCTTTTTTCATTTTACTGTTTCTTCACCTTAATGGCCACAAAATCTACTCCCACACCGACACCTCGTTTTCGCACTAATCCACCCCGTGAAGGCCGCAGTGGTCATTCAGGATCTGCTCATTTTGACAGGATTAACGTCATTGGTTGAGACAGTAAATATTATGGTAGGAAGACTAACCTTGTGTTAAGCAAAAGATTTTCGGATCGGATTTCCGCCTCTGTGGTTTAAGTCGCTAGCAAACCTCACAATTATCGCTGCAGGTGGGCCGGTTAACAAAAAAATGAAAGAACGTGAAGAGAAGCTGGCAGGGAAGATGGTAGGTTGACAGAGTTCTCGCTCCACTAAAACTGTTTTGATTTAGTATGCCGTCAGTGGCTATCAAACCTGACAATATCATGGAGTTTGTGTATGCAGACCTGTCCTGGATTAATCTCGTGTCATAGGATCAGAGGTGGATCAGACGTCTGCTGTGAAATATTGGTCCAGCACAGATGCTAAGGTACTCAGGTACTATTCTCGCCAAGTTTCCATACTAACAATTTTGTAAAAAGCAGTCAAATTGTTTCACTTTGTTTACAGGGAAAGCCATTTCTGTTCAACATGCAGTACCAGTGCCTAGTCACTGTTAGTAGGAGAATTTGACGACTTTCTGGACCATTCAGCAGTGATCACTTGTAAATTTGCAGAGATGTTACTTCAAGCGATTGAGAAGAGTCTAATTCTAGTCTTCTTTCTTAAATTTCGGCCTTTAAGAACCAAGGTATGAAGCACTCAGGATGCGGCTGCACCATCTTCTCAAGCGTCTGCGATGGAAGCAAGCTAGATTTGGTATGTTCGGCAACTTGCTGCACTAAATTGAGTATGTGATCACTGCGGATCTCAGACTGATCTATTTTAGTGAGGTATTCAATGTGAATCTTAGCAATAAGCATAAGGAGTTTTTTTTTAAGAAAATGGTACAGCCACTTTCTGAGTACTTCAAAGCGTAGAGATTGGAGTCTGCAATTTACGAAAGGAAATAGGGGTTGGTTTCTTGCCAATCACCTGAACTAACACCTCTGACATTCCAAAATGATCACCGCTGAATAGTCCAGAAAGTCACCAAACTACCTTACTAACAGTGAGCAGACACTGGTAAAGTTACTGAACAGAAGTAGCCTTATCTGTAAGTCCTGGTAGGTCACGTTTCTCGCATGTCCAACACTTTGCACTGTGTGTGACAAAGCGCAAGGCCTCACAGTGCCAACAAGCAAAAGTAAATGTGCGCTCAGTTCTACTCATTTGATTTATGCTGGGTTGTCTCTTGTTTGATTTCAGCTGTCAAAATGCACTGAATTGTGCTTGGTACAACCGACCACACTGAATTGAACAGAGTTGGTGAGTTACCTGGTGTGGACTCTGCCAAGTGTCACGGAGGCCATCTGCTAGAGAAGGCGATGGAGCCACATCCTGGTGTCTGCATACCTTTGAAGCATGAAGCCTCGAATTAAGGACACGAGATTGAGATTGGTATTGAATAAGATCCTTGAATTGGCGTTTCTTGTCAAAACCACCAGGCACATATCTGCTATCTTTATTTAAATGTGCTTAGACCGATACATGCTTTAGTAGAATCGGGGTGTGTCCACCGCCTGTATCTAAGCGCAGTTGCAAGCCGCCTTCTGCCACGCTCACCACACCGCACACACACATACACACCCTGGTCTCCATTCCTGTGCAAGTTCTTTTTGAGAAAACGGGAGCGTCTCCATTGTTCCGTCGATAAGCCTTACTCGGCATGATTCTTGTGCTTGGAGTTATAGCAATTAAAACCGATGCTATTAAGTCTTGTGAAACATTTAACACTATTCAGAGCTGGCTCGCTCAGGTGACAATAAATCGCAATATGCACTCTTCGTTTCCATTAATTTGTAACCCTGTTTAGCAAATGTGACCAGAGAAGGAACCATCTTCGGTAAGTTTTCAACAATTTGACTCGTGTTTCTTGCCATTTTCACACATGTTAGGACACCATTTTATAATACGATTAAAACTAAACCAATGGAAATCGGGGCTGTGAAGGCACCAGATTAAAGACTCTCAAATCATGGTGAGTTTTGGACATTAAGAGAAGGTAAACACGGCTACCGGATATGATTATTTACGTTGTTGGCATCGTCGTGGTTGGTGGGTGGGTAAATCTTTCAGGTTGCAATGTTAACGCACATTAATGTGTGAATGAGATAAGGGCAACAACTGTTGTGATGCTTGTGCAACCATCGAACAGGCGGATGGAGTGTGAGTGTATTCCAATTCTGCGGATGCAGTTGACACAAGTTGCCAATGCTGATTCTTGACACACTTGCATTGTCACGGAAAACACAAATATTTTAATGTGTTGCATGGAAAATCCTTGCAAAAACAACTGCATGGAGAATTCAGTCAGGGGGAACAATTGGAGGATCAGTGGTGCATCTCGGCATTACAGTAAGAGAGACAACACAGCGTGTGTTTGCCAGGCCAACTTCAGCTATCATACTCCAAAATGCACACGTTTAGTGATACGCAAAGCGATAATGTGAAATTCTTTGCAAAGGGCACAGAATCGATGTGATTTTCGTGGACTGTCAAACTGGGCTTTATTGAAATCTCGTAAATTGTTTAATACATGAAAGTCAAAATCGTCAGACAATTCACAAGGTAACAACACTAATCGTAAACTTAAGATGTGTACATCGATGACAACAATGCGCTTGCACCGTC